GTGAAGGCATGAGAGGACAGAATCTGAGCATAAACCAAACGGTGAAGTTCTTCCATGCAGATTCCACCCATTTTTGGTCGTTCTTCGTGTAAAAGTGCTTCTGCTTGAGTACTTCCAGCTGCCAACAGCTCTATAGCATGAGTTATCATCCTGTTCAAAGATTAGCAAGTAAGCTTGATCACATGTAATACTATTTTTCTCAATTTGGATCTCATATTATGGCAGATATAAGATTAAATGCATTCATCCGTCAATAAAATCATTTCCCATGCATGAATAGTGACCAATTATCAACCACCCATATATTCAGTCAATAATATTTGTAAAGAATTAACTAGAACAAAAAGGTTGAACCAGAACTGTATACAAAAGAGAAAAGATGCCTCACCAGGGGCCAAATGATCTCGAGCATTCAGCTAGAACAACCTAAATCATAAAAAGAACAGTCATTTTCTGGCTGAATGGAAAGGTCAGCAAAATAATGATTCTAGGAAAATTATTGGATTCTTCACCTCCGTATTATCTTCTATAATCCCAACTAATAATCCCATCAACTTGTGACGACTTGTAGCAGGTTTCAAATGCATGCACTTCTGAGCGAGACTATACATGCTTTCTAAACCCTGAAATAGAACAAATATATCAACTGTTTACGCCTTCACTATTCCCCTCTTTTCCATTCTCTGACTAGGCAGCATAAGCTATACAACAAAGGCTACGAATAAATTAAAATCTTAACTGATGAAAAAGATTCACGAAATTTGCACTAACCACGGTGAAGGGCCTGATGTACAAAAAGTGGGAAATGTAAAGTTCGATCCAATTGTACGTTACTTTGGGGAGGACACTAGCATTTCCCAACATGACTTGAAGCATATTTTTCAGTCCAAGTCTAGTTTCCTCGTGATCACATTGAAGCCAGAATGCACTGCAGTCCAATTTTGTAATTTGACCTCGCCATTTCTCCCACGCCTGATAAATTAAAAAAATATCAATAGAAGCATAGCTATACACAGAGTACACGTAAAACGCCGAAGGGTATACTTTACCTTCATAAACTCCGGTCTGGTAAGATAGCATTCTCCTAGTTTTTCTTCCGGTAGATCAGGCCGTAAACGGGGCATCTGTGATATGAGAAGAGCAACTGCTTCCACAAGTCCATTTTCTATCTGTTTCAAATGCACATAGAAGATCCATTAAATCTCATAAAGGTAAACAAAAACTTTTAGGATGTGACATGGGTATTTATACTTTAATGTAGTGTAAATATAGCGACGTTCTTACAGACCTCGCGGGTTCCTAGCTGATCAAATAAATAAGATCCATGCAAGCGCAATAGTTTTACCTGCAACGATATATGTTCATATAATAAGCAGTCTACATACATTGCATATTAAATTTTGAAAAAAAGAATACATAATGCTTTTTTTTTCCCCTTTAATGCCAAATTGGAACTTACAACAACATCAAGCCAGCCTACAGCTAAGGCTGATGACAGAACTTCCCAATATTCTGGATCATTCTCAACTGCCTGAGATAGAAAATGAAAAGATTGAATACTAACATAAAAGTTTAAGCTCTAGTGGATATGGACAAAGAAAAGCTTGGAACTCAATATTTCCGTGAGAACGTTAACAACGAAAATTTTATTTTAGTTTCTTGCAACATCCCAAACTCCGCCTATGTTGTCTCAACATAGCAGGTCCCAAGCCCTGGTAAAGGAGGAGGGTTGTGATAGGCTTGGCGAGCCAACGTAAAACCTAGCCGTTCTATGGAGATGAAACACATGAGAAATTCGTTGGGGTGTAACCCTCTTAGCGACGCGCCATATCTGATACCGGTGGATAGGAGCGCTTGGAGGCTAGCAATCAACGTGCCAGAACCGTGACTTTTGCTCCTTTCTCTTTTGCTCCAATCTCTTCCTTTTGTGTTTCTCTTACCATTGTTTCTCTTGGGTTTCATCTCTAGCCTACCCCAACTTGCTTGGGACTAAAAGGCTATGTTGTTGTTGTTGTTGTTTTTTGCTTGCAACATCCCAATGTAGCTAAACCAGAAATGAGTTGATTTTTAAACATTTTAACTCCGAAACGACCATATAAATGGCAAATGTATACGTCAGGCTCTGACCTGAACTTATTTCCAGTTAAAGCTATCAGAACAAAATTGCAGAAAAACGGCTAAAGTTTCCTATAATTCAATCTTGCATCAGAATTGCGATCTTATAGCCTTGCAACTCATAGGTATTTTTCCAGCTGCTTCATTACCAGAAGAGGTCGTGAGCTCAGAAAATGATTTGTACGAAACCAAGAAGCTACGGATAATAGATTTTAAATAAATGAAATGTCAAACGTAATACTGTACACCCATATCACAGACTCACACTACAACCCAATAAGTCATCAACGTTAAAACCTGGATAGTGACAAGATTTTCTTGGAAAGCCACAAGTTTCGCATAGACAGATGACTGGCTTGTTGAGAAAAGGCAATCAAAATCCTGTATAAAAGAACAAGCATTACTAGTTCCAGTGGACAAAATAATAACAGTTGAGAGGAAAAGGGTCAGCAATTGAAAATTTCATACAGCTAACCAATCTAGAAGGCGTTCGGGGATCCAAGTCTGAGATTGCTTGTCTGCATAGAACATTTCCATCAGTTCCCACGCAGCTTTGAGAGAGGTCGGCTCCTCAGATTTCTGATTTTATGGACAAATGTATTTGTTAAGGAATCTGAAAATTTAGATAAGCAGCATTAATGCAGATATCCAATCCAAAACCATGATGTACCTTCATTACTGTTTTGGAGTCTTCAAACATTGGAGAAACAGATGACTTTGAATTATCAAGAAGAGAATTTATTTCCTTGCTGTACTCCATCACATGTTCCCACCTGTTACGTTTAACACAAAGTTATCTATTTCAACACCCAATTTTTAACTTTTTCCTAAAATAGTTAAATCCAGAAACCATTCATAATGTCTACTGAATATAAAATATTGAAAACTAAGTAATGCTATCAACAATGAAATAAAATAGAGCAAACCATCTTCTAAACTACAGCTGCCAAAAAAAAACAAGAAACTGCGTAAACTAGCATAACCAATAAATACTAAGAGAATTTTGAAAACCTACACATACATCACCACTATTACTTTACAAATGAATAACTACGTCATCATTCTACACCATCCTGAAACTCAATAAATTTTATACAGTGGTTCTTTCATGTTGTGAATCAAATAACATGTTAAGGGCATCGAAACATATGGGACAAACGATAAGCTCTACAAAAAATGGAATTCTTCTTCAAGTATTCATCAAGAACCATACAGCTAGAACTACCAAATATGAAGTTGTCCGTGTCCTTTTGCCTAAAATCAATCACCAAACTTGGGAGTCCAGGGAATTTTCGCAGAATATGATCAAAGCTTACTACTCTTGGTCCACGCACACCCTCAAAAAAGGTACACAAGCAATGTAATTAACAACACAGCTCATATCCCATCCACCGCATTCATCTAATTCAAGTATCAGGACTCAGGATGAAATATTAATCAAATTTCAAATCAATATTACCTCAGCTACAAAACGCAAGACAGGTTTAAAAAATGGGAGCTGGAATAAAGTACCAGTCTTTATCGTAGTGCATTGAGTCAATCGAATTCTTTCGGCTTTGAAGAAGCGCGAAGGGTCCGACAGAGCCGTATGCGATCCTCCGCCACTGTGCGTCGGGAATTTCTCCTCCATCCGCGTTGCTGAGCTTCACTTCAACCACTTCACCGCCGGGCTTATCAACGAAGTCCTCCGGTTGCTGGAGGAGTGAAACGCGGAGCGTGTTGCCACGCGCCCACGAGATGGAGAGGCGTGCGGGTGGGGAAACGACCCCGCGGGTCCGCAAAGGGTAAACCCTCGGTTCGTGCTCGTTCAATGAGTGTGGGACAATGGATAGGGAGGTGAAATCGCCGGAATCTGACGCCACGCCCGGCATATCGCCGGAAAATTCCTTTCTCCCAGGGTTTTGGCAGGGCTTAGAGAGAGAGAGGGAAGTGAAAAAAATTCACCGGAGTTAAATGGAAGTTTCCACGTTAAATAAAGTCGCTCCTTTGAAAACGTGTAGCTGATAAACTAATCTAAGTTCTCCGTTTGAGCTCATTCACAAATATCAGGCAAATAGGGCTGGAACTCGTTTAAAACTCATTTAGTCAACGAGTTGAGACTTGAGAGACCAAAAAGTGATAATATTTAGATAATTTTCTATGACTCTATTCGCTAAAGTAAATGAATTGAGTTGTGGCTTATTTTCCGATTCATTTAATTGCTCAACCAGATAAAATTCAAACTCAAACTCGAGTAGAGGTGGTCAATGAGCGGATTGGAGCCAAAATTAGAACCAGGTTCGTGTATTACGCAGACCCGTTATGAGAACTTTAAAGAATTGACTCGACGGATCATGCTCAACTTGAAATAAACTCGACTAGTTAGATTTGGAGACAAAAAATTGAATTTTAAAATTCAAAACTAAAAAATTGACCCATCATGAACCGACGAGGCGGATCCAATTATAATTTAATCTCAGTCGTTGGATCTCGTATTCGATCAAAATTTAAAATAACACTTAGACTTGTTGGGTTGATCTGAAACCAAAACTGACAAATTGTAATTTGAAACCTCTATAATCTCGTGCTGGTTTCAATTTTTTGATATTTTTTATTTCATAATCCGTTGATACCATTGGTTAGAGGTGACTTAGGTTAGACCCGACTATCATGTCTAAGCTCAAGTATCAGAAGTCCGAACAATCAAACTTTTGGTTGGGCTAGTTTTATCATAACTAACGAGAAAACCAAAGTCGCATTATTAGGCGCTTTAAGTTGAATAAAAACGCGAAATCCTGCAATTTCCCAAAACCCTACTCACTCTTCATTCCTCCCTTTCTCCTCTCACGAGATCCAAACCCTAGAGAGAGAAAGCTTTTGGGCTGCAAATTTTGGGGCAAAAAAAGATGTCGATGTCCAAGAGCTCGAAGATGCTCCAGTACATCAACTATCGGATGCGCGTGACGATCCAGGACGGCCGCCAGCTCATCGGAAAATTCATGGCCTTCGACCGCCACATGAACCTCGTCCTCGGCGACTGCGAGGAATTCCGCAAGCTTCCTCCGGCAAAGGGCTCCAAGGAGGAGCGCGAGGACCGCCACACTCTTGGCCTCGTCCTCCTCAGAGGCGAGGAGGTGATCTCCCTCACCGTCGAGGGCCCCCCTCCCCCAGACGACAACCGTCTCAAGACGACCGCGGCCGGCGCCATCCCCGGGCCTGGAATAGGCCGAGCGGCGGGCAGGGGCGTCGTCACCGGCCCGATCTCCGCGCAGCCGGGGCTCGCCGGGCCCGTCCGCGGCGTTGGTGGGCCCGCGCCGTCCATGATGCAGCCCCAGCTCTCGCGGCCTCCACAGATAGCGGTGCCGCCCATGGCTTACCCTCAGCAACCGCCGGTTGTCAGGCCGCCTCCACCGGGAGGATTCCCGCCAAGGCCGGGGATGCCGCCTATGCCTCATCCGCAGCAGTTCAGGCCTGGAATGCCGCCACCACCACCGGGTGGATTTGCTCCTCCGCCCCAGTTTGGACAGAGGCCACCAATCTTGCCGCCAGGTCAGATGATGAGGGGTCCGCCACCTGGCGGGCTACCTAGGCCTGGAATGGCCCCGCCAGGTCAGCAGCAGCCACCTAGGCCAGGGATGCCGCCACCTATGCCCGGCGGACAAGCTCAAATGTTTGGTCCACCTAGGCCGGGAATGCCACCGCCGCCTAATGCTCCTCCTCAGAATCAACAGTAGGAAAAAGTGATTTCTTCAGGTAAGTTATTGGTTTTGTTTTATTATATGAAAGTTAACATTTATAAATCTGTCTAGTTACATGAGCTTAGCTGCCTTTGACATCCAGTAATAGAAAATTGTTATTTTGATTACTCTATATGAGCTCTTGATTGGCTTCTTTGGTCCATTTTACTGTATTTCTGTGTAATTGTGTTTGAAGTTTGGCTGCTTAGTTAGCCCAAATGGACTCAAGGAACTATTTGGTCTTCCCTAAGATCTCATTTCAATCGTACAACACATATATTTTGAAACCATAAGTAGAATGTAGATGTTTTTCATTCTTGTTATGCAATCTGAATTAGGCATGCTTTTGTTGGATTGGAGTATTTATTTGCTAGCACATTGATGGTGTTTATTCAGTCACTTACAGGATTCTCAAGCATTTTTCGATAACTAATAAGGTTAATGAGTATGGTATGCTATAGCAGATTGAATTTACCAAACCATGGTGTTTTTTGGATACATAAAAATGATGTCTTCTCACTCTTTCAGAGAATATAGATCAACAGACTGTTTTTCCTCCTAGACTCTTTTCAAATAGCTGTCGTTAAGTGAAATCTTTGCTTTGGTCTTTAGCCTACACAATTTTATAAGCGTTTGAAATCTGAATTACCATTACAAAGTTTCTTCAATGTCCAATTCTCTTGGTTCTTCTAATCGTATGGTATGGGTTTATATCTCTTTTCTTCTGTTTTGAATCTCTTGGTGCGCGTTGAAATCTGAATTACCATTACAAAGTTTCTTCAATGTCCAATTCTCTTGGTTCTTCTAATCGAATGGTATGGGTTTATATCTCTTTTCTTCTGTTTTGAATCTCTTGGTGCGCGTTGAAGCAGCCAACATTATCGCCCTTTGCTCTTCAAACTGAATCCTTTCGTTTTTGTAATTTTCGAATTGTTCCAAAGTCTTATAAGTGGAATTCACCAAATTTAATTTTTTTTGCTCACCGACTCGGTTGATACGAATGGGAAAGTGACTAAATGTTAGAAATGATCGATCGGTTTTTTTTATATGCCTGTCACTTTCTCTTTGTTCGTATTGATCCCCTTCTGTTGGTATTTTTCCTCATATTTGAGTTTACAAAAATCGAAACTTAGGTAAATGCTTTAGAAAGTTTCTATTTATTTTTTAGCATTGCTCGTACTTTACTGGTTTTGTATAAACCAATCTTTTTCTCTACAATTTCCATGCAACGTTCATGTAATTTCAGGATATATAGCAAATGTAATTATGGACAAATTTTTTATTTCAAGCTTGCTCTAGATTTGAACTACATTTGGTCCCAACGTAGGTTAATCCGTATTTTTTTGGAGTTATGGAGAATAAAGGAGTAGTGATCCCGTGATTACTTGATTTCTTTCAAGCATTCGAATCATATTTGTTGTTTATTGTAATGAAATTTGTGGCAGGAATATCCCCAGTTTTTTAGTTCGTTGGCTGTCAAGTTTACCCGAAGAGAAGCTATGGTGAATGAGGATATTTTATGGGAAGTGTTGAATCAGTAATTACTAATTTGACTTCCTTGTGTTGCTGTGATCAGGCTTGTTTCACTCATTTCAGATATTGTGACTATGAATACATGTTTTGTTTGGAACTCTTGGGTTTTGTGATGTGTATTTTGAAGTTTGAACCCTCAGTACAGATGTTATCTATCTCAACTTTTTCTGTTATTGATGTTGTTTCTTCATTTCATTTTTGTTTTTTAATAAATATATGTACTTTCAAACTAAAATATCATACTAAAAAAATACAAATAAAAGCTTAATATTTCATATTATAAGTATGTGTTAATTGTTAATTTTGAAAAATATATTGGTACAAAAATTACCGTTGAAGGAAGTTATCTAAGTTGATTAGCACATTGTTGTAAAGCTGAAATCTTGACATTAGGAATTTTAATAGTTGATTAGGCACATTGTTGTAAAGCTGAAATTTTGACATTAGGAATTTTATATAATCTTTGTACAAGAAGACGCCTATGAATAGAGAACTTTATTTTAATATATGGTTTTGCTAGGTTTCTTATCATAAACTCCCGATGAAGATTAGGTTTGAAAGTAGAACCTTAACGAATTTGGCACAAAATAAACAGAATTATACCAAATCCAAACCTCAAAAAATTAATTAGACGAAATTGATAAAAAAAATTAAAGCTATTTGGCAAATTGAAATTTCAATAAAGTATTAAATGAAACTGCAACTCACCAAGTAACAAAAAATATTTAATTTCTATAAGAAAAATCCAAACCTCAAAAAGTTATTACACGAAATTGATATAAAAAAAAAAATGAAAGTTATTTTGCAAAATTGAAATTTCAAGAAATTGTTAAAGGAAACTGCAACCCAATTATTGAACAAAAATAAATAAATAAACTTATCCTGCTGGAAAAAAATAAATTGAAGTCCAACATCTCAAGCACCAAGTACTACATTATGCAGCCGAGATTTGGAGTTGAGATTGTTGCCGCTCACTTTGCTTCTGTATGCCATGTGACAGTCGATGTAACATCAATTTTGATTTATAAAATTTATTTTACTGATAAAAAAAATAAAAAAAAAAAATAAAAAAAAAAAAAAATAAAAAAAAAAAAAAAGTACTACATTATGCAGCTGCTCTAATACCTCCCCAAAAACCCTCGTATCCTTTTATATCTTTCCCTGCTTGCAACCACTCAAAACAAAGAAAATGGCATATCGCTGCAGAACAATTTCAAGACCGGCGATCAACCTTCTCAAGTCATCCATCGCCAAGCCGGCGAGCAGGCCCTTCTTTTCCGTTCAACCAAGCCAATCTTCCCCGTCACTTTTCTCAAGGTTCGATCTTCAAATCGGAGCTGGTTTTACTTTATGGATTCGCTTTTGTGTGTGTTCCTTGTCGCATGTTTTGGCCGCTGGCTCAAATGGGGTGTTTAGAGCCTACAGCTAGCTTATTTATGTGGAAAGTTCGATTTTATTTGGAGGGATCTGAGTTAAGGTCGTTGGATTTTGTTATGTTTTGCCTGATGGTTTTCTCATACGGCACCCGTTTTCTGAGAGTGTCTGCTTACTGAGTAAAGATTGGTTTTCGATTTTGCATGTGTTGCAAGTTTATTCACCCTCTCTGAAATGGGTTCTTGTTTAACGAGGGTGTATTCAATTAAGACATATTTAAACAATGCAGACTATAAAAACCCATCAAGTCTTACGCTTTCCGGGTTAGATGATTTTTTCGCCATTAAGAAATGCAGTACATTTTTAATAAACCCATAATTTTGTTTATTTTTCATTCATATACTTGCATTGTCAGGCCATTGCCTCAGATGGGTGCCCTAATGTCTCTTTTACCCCTCCACACAGTGGTCTCTTCTGCGAGGCTCACGTCTTGTCTGGGCACAGACACCAATAGCTGCAGGTCTTTGTCTAAGGGTATGCTCTGCAGTGCCAACCCTGGAGTTTGATACATTTTGTAAAGTTTTCCGTAAGATATTCACTTCTTTGTTCCTTCATTTCATATCAATAGTGAGAATAGTGAGAATAAGTTTTGTTAGGCTATGTTTGGTAAACCTGGCTACCTAGTTGATAAGTTAGCTTATAGCTTTTAAGTGAATTTCGAGCTTAGATAGCTCGTGACTTATGGCTGAAAAGCTAGCTTATATGATAAACGTGTTTGGAGAAATTAGCTGAAATAAAAATTTCAAATGGGCTTATTTGAAAAGCTACCCAAAGAAGCTTATGAGATAAGCTCGAGCTTTGTAAAAAACTCGGTCTACCAAATCAAGCTTATTTGAATACAGAAAGATTATAAGCTAATCAAATGAGCTATAAGCTAGCTTATATGCTTACCAAACACAGCCTTAGTCACTCTCTTTCCTTTCTTCATTTGATGTATTTGCTTCTTTTGGTGCATCATTATATTTTGTTAATGTGTGTTTTTGGTACTTTCTTAGCAATACTTGTATTATGGGCTACTGCTATTTAGTTAGAAATTAGCTAAATTATTATAACTAGGAAAAATGTGGTGGTGGTGGTGATATGTTTTTTGATGATTTTCAGACTGAAGATCCTTGATATCATTACTTTTATGTCTTTCAGAATTGAGGTATAGTTTAGATATGATAGTTTGTTTTTATTAGTTCGTCACAATATTTAGTCAGAAGCACTTACGGTTTTGGTTTGGCTCTCGACTTAGTTTCTCGAAAACTGTAATCTGACTACTGAAGTACCTCCTACTGGATTTCGTTTAATAAAGTTTAGAAAAAAAACCAACACTTAACCAATTTAGACGAATAATTCAGTCGAAGTTCAATGTTTTTAAGTTGGATTATTTTTGGTTTACCCTGCATAAGCAGCAAAGTTCTTTCAGCTTATACCTTGCTGCCAAAGTGCCAATAATAGGTTCAAAATAAACCGTTGGCATTAATGTGTGATTTGCTTGTTGATTTAATTGAATATTATTTTTTTCGTTTATACTCCTTTCAGCAAGATTTGCATCATCACTTAACGTTCCTTCTCATGTAAAATCGGCATCATCATATGTAGATAACTGAAGTGCCAATTTTGATTTCTCATGCTGAATTGAGTTTATCACAAAAACTGCCTGGAGGTTTAGCCTATATATAAAACTTTAAAAGTGTTCACTTTCTATAAATTGGACCCCTGGGAAGGGTATTTGTTGGGTAAATTCAAAGCTTAAGCGGGTATTTGTGCACTTTAGTGTTTTTTTTTCCTTTTTTCTTTAATGATCTTGAAAGATAAATCATATTTCTTCTTTTTATCCTGCAATTTTGCTAAACCATTATCGACGTACAATCTGATGATACGGCATTAGTCCTTATATGCATTTTTTCCTCATTATTGCAGAATTAGGTCAGTCCGTGCCGCGGTAAGAGGGGCCTTTTGTTTCATGTAATAAGGATTGAAGAAGTTGCTTCTGACGTTGATGGATCTTTTTAATCAATACTCTTTTTTTACGGCTACAATTGAATTCTTGTCAATTTTGTATTGAGCAAAGATTCGTTGTTTATTATGATTTTCCAATGGAATCACTTCGAATCAAACTTCTCTTACTCCGGCTCATACGGCTTATGTTTCAGCATCTGCAAAAATGTTATTACATTTGTTCATGTGCATTTAAGGTTAGTTTATTTTGTGTATTTGTGAAATGGATTTGTAAATAACTTTTGCCTGCTATGCATATTGACAACAGGATTTAATCCTTCATGGTGGAGTTGCGATCGAGAAAAAATAGAAACACACTTCATAATGTGAATGAATGGTTGGTCATTGCATTGAAAGTATTTTTAATTGTTTATTATATGATTAAATTTTGCTTCTATTATCATCCCAACTAGTAATTTCAATTTGAGCTAGCAATTTCAAGCCTAGCCTTATCAAAAGAACCGAACAATTCAGGCCCAGACCAAACAAAAACTTCATTATCTTCTAAAACTCGGACTCAACGCAGCCCTTCAAAACTGCTATCTTCTAAAATTCGGGCTCAACTCAGGCCTTCAAAACTGTTGCGCAAAGGAAATTTCAATCTTTTTTTTTTTCCAAACGACAAAAATATTAATAACTTAAAAAACTCAAAAAGACTCAAAAAGAGTAGGAAATTTCAACCTTTTTTTTTCAAACGACAAAAATATTAATAACTTAAAAAACTCCAAAAGACTCAAAAAGAGTACAAATCGAAGTGCCAACGGCACCAGTGAAACCAGGAACCAGAAAAGACTTAAATTAGGGTTTTGGAACTTTTTTATGGAGAGGAAAAAGGGGTCTAAGAGGGGACTTTCCACACACCATGTACATGTTAATAAGGAAATTTCAAACCTTGCTACCTTTAGTTTTTGGAATTCAAAATGCAAATCAATTGTGAAAACCAATCAAAGGTTAACGAGAAAATACTCAAAGTAGCAATTAATCGAGTTCAATAAAACACCATCAAGCATAGTGCAAACAAATCAAAGGCTAAAGAGAAAATACTCAAAATAGCAATTAATAGATACATTACCATCCATTGGAAAATCTAATTGTATCTATCATAATACAATCACAACCAAAATAAAATACAATCTGCTGTTTATATACAAAATGTTAGCAATAAGTCGGATAATACGACACATTGGACATCTAACACAGTCTACACAGCCTAAACGCACTTAGACAACATTTAGGCATAGTCTACTCGAGGTTTTAACAAAATACGTTAACAACTTAACATACCGATGGTCAAGGTCTCGATAGCACGACTGGTCTTCCAGGATTTGGCGATTCGCGAGAAAAAAGGTGGCCTCGACAGGACAAAAATTTGGTATTTCGCTCATATGGTAAATGAGAAGTAAAATCCTCTTATCAAATCTTAAGAAGCAAATTATGATGGCTCAAGATACAGTTCTTCCATAGCACACGGATGCAATGTAAAGATTTTTGGCCCATTTTTCCTGACATTCAAAGAGAGTAATGACTTTTGAGTTCATATCCGAGTAAAGAGCTCCAAACAACAAAAGGTTGTTAAAATACGAACAAAACCCCTTCCAGTTTCATCGATTCAACTAAAAATAAATAAAGAGAAAATAATTCAATCAGTAAAAATTTTGACTTGATCTGCCTTATAACAAAGGGCAATGCTGGAAATTTTCGTAGATACCGAAAGATTTTAGTAACTAGGCAATTCTTCAGAAGTGGTTTTGTATCTAATCCAAACACACAATAAAAAGAAAAAAAAAAAGAAGAGGAATATAAGAGACTCTACCTTAACATGAGCACTTGGAAAAGCAGAAGTCCGTAAAGTCTCTTGTGTTTCATCTGTTGGTCTTCTTCGGGGAATGCTTAGAACAAGAGCTGATTGGTCCCACGTGGCAGCAGTTGATGTGATACGGTAACCAGCATCCCATCTCCTATGAACGCCTTCACTTGGATAAAGAAAGTCTAACTCCACAACCTGAAAAGGATAAAATAGCAATTTATGTAGACCCCTCAAGATTTTTCCTAATTAATAACAAAAATCACTCACCGTCCAAAATTACAAATATGGTTATGGTTTATATTTATTTCACAAAATACTTATATTGACGTTGCAGGTGGTTTGTAAAATATTAAGAAATATTAAAGGGTATTAGTAATTCTGAAAGGTATCTCGATCTTTTTTTTAGGAAAATAATAATAATAATTAAACTCTACAAAGTTTATATATATATATATATATATACACAACAACAACAGCAACATACCCAGTATATTTATATATATACACAAAAACATACCTGGTCAGTAAACCCGGCCCCCCGAGACATAACAACTCCCCATCTAGTACCTGCAGTAGCCATAGCAGTAACATAGAATCCCTCTCTCCATTTTTTGTTGATCCACTTAAACGGAAATGATTCACTAACTTTATAAGACTGCTGCACATACTGTGTGCCTGCATATTTTGACAGTAAAAATCACCCAAACACAATTTGGATTAGTCACCTAATAACTCAGAAAATATATTTTCAGGCCTTGAATAGTGATACTAACCCTTAGACATAACTATTAGCGAGCTCCCATTGTTGGCCCCTGCTATTGCACTAATGTAATAATTCTTCTCCCATTGTTCCACAATCCACTCCTGCACACAATGAGAAGTCTTCATACAATCGTCCTTTGACATGCCTCGAAAGACAACATGAGTTCTTAGGCACAAATACAACCTCATGTTCAGCATGATTACCCAAAACAAAGAAGGAAAAAAAAAACAGATTCTATCACAATAACTAATAACCAGACATCTGTTTGTCTTTCACGACATGTGACAACAAGTTGGAGTTTGTTAGCAATAACATTCCGAGGGGATACTTGTAATCTGAAGACCAATTATAAAAATAATTTATTTAACTACATTTAAAGTAGTTAAGTCTCTTTATTTATCCCCATGTAATGCACACCAGCTATAATAATCCAAATGTGAGAAGGCACAGAGAAAAGTTATGAGACCTTGTGAAGGAAATAAGGAGACAATTCGTAAACTTGAGAACTAAAGCCAGTCCCTGCATCCATTACAAGAGCCCAAAGATTTGAAGAAGATGCCACGCAACTGATGTACAATCCATCCTCATTTCCTTTTTCAATATGCTGAGCCAGCCTAATATCCGAGACATTATAGTGATATCTACACAACCAAATACAGATAAATCCATCACTTCTCTTGAAAAGTTGAAGAAAGTTAATTAGTTCGAAGATACCTTTGCTTCATTGGGCGCCGAGCATTATACACACTAATCCACTGTGTAGCTGGCATCCCCATGCGGACTTTCTTTTTGGGTTGCTCATCATCATCATCATCCAACATAAGCCGTCCTCTCTTATGCCCCACTTGATATATAAGCTTCAAAATTCAGAAATGTACGTAAAAATGAGAATAAAAAAAAATATTCCACATATGTTCTGTTAACTGACAAATTGCTATCGCTCCTATGTAGTGGTTTGAACACAATTATAGAATCGAAGGATACCTTCTGAGCACCTTCAGTATTGATTGGTCTAATGTCGGGATTTGGACCAACTATTCCATCAAATAGGGATATATATTTTGCATAATTAGGCTCCTCCTCGAACTTTAAGCCAACAATGTACTCGACAAACTGTCTAAAAGGTGCAGGGCAGAAGCAACAAAGAGCTTCTGGGGAAGTTGCCATCTTCTTTTTGCAGACAAGGAACCCTTTATTCTCACCCTAATTAAATACAACAAAAGCATGACGAGTGATATGTTTAAGAAAAAAATCACCCTAAGAAGTGAGGTGTTTGCTAGGTATAACACCTCGAGGAAATGGTCAAAGACAATTTGAGTCATATAGTGGTTGATTAACCAGAAAGGTTATATTTGCACTTTATCTATTATTCAAAACAAAAAATTCAGATTCCTGATCTACAGCTGCCAACCTGATACCCTTGCCAAGGAAGTCGGCCACGGAGAAGAAAAATGAGTGTATAAGCAAGGGACTCTAAATCATCCCTTCGGCTACCCGTTCTTCCAAGATGGGCATGTACACTAGCGTACCGCACAGTACCTCTGGAGCAAACAATATTTTCACACGTCAAAATATATTCACAAGAAAGTAAATGAAATACAACAGCATGAGGCGTAACTTCACCTGAATACATCCGGACGTTGATCATAATCCACATGCAAGCCCGTCGAAATATCACGCCACCGGGTAGCTGCAAAATTTTGAAACACGGCAATCAGATAAAAATTTTCCTTTCCAGAAGATTGTGCATGCTATCTAAAATAAACACGCTTCAGCTCTCCGGTTATATAAATTACCTAATCCAAGATCCACCAGAAAAAGTTTCTTCTCATCAGGTGTTCCAGGTGGACCAAGCAAAAAATTCTCAGGTTTTACATCGCCGTGCACATATCTGCAGAGATTGAGCGAGAAATATAGTGAGAAGCATATCTTGATATAAAAGCGAACGTGATGGTAATTAATATTACATAATTACTAATTGGGAAATCATATCAATTCTTTCATTGAAATTATTCACGTTAGTGCATGCACTTCGCATTACAACTACATCAAATTTCCAAGTCTGGTCATGAGAGTTATTTATACTGAAAAATTACCCTTTAGAGTGTAATTTCTCTAAAATGGAGATGGCTTCAATAGCAATACATGCTACCATTTCGATGGACATCCTGCAGAAAAAAATTTTGATTTTCAGCTTCAACAAGATATTATACAGTTAAAGCGAATGAAAAAGATGTAAATTCTAATAACTTAATCAAGAAAGGCAACTAACGTGTGGGAATTGTTGTTCCAGACATCCCATAGACTAGGGCCAAGCATATCCATAACCTGGAAGAATTGTCGAGCCCATAACATACAGCAAATGATAAGTAAAAAATCTTAACAAATGCTTATCTTCATGGACTTACCATAATGTAATAATCACCCTGGCGCCCTTTGTAGTGTACACGCGGTATGCCATGGCTGCCACCAAGTGCACTGGAGAAAGACACATGCAATGCTCACATTGTTCACCGAGATAGATTATGATAATCATATTAATTAAAATAATATATAATTTAAGCACCAACCTGTAGACTTGCCACTCGTAAGGTGGGCCATAATTACAGCCTTTGCTACTTCGGTGCTCAAATTTCAAAGCAACCTGAAGTGCAATAACACAATGTCACCAAAACCCACAAACCAAGGTCATGTATGAAAAGTACAGGGCAAAGTACATACCTCCAGAGCTCCTGGACCTGATCTTTCATTTGGGATTGGAGAGTTGATCCTTCGACCTACATACACCTGCCCAAACCCGCCTTTACCCAGTTTCTTCTCGATTCTATATGCTGGAGAGCCACCAACCTGAACCTGTTGCATTTAATAGAGATATAATAAGAAAAAATCTAGATACAGGACAAACTTGTTAAAAGATATCCAGCATTGAACCAATTGAAGCATTTATGAGCAGTTAGGAAATTTTCTTATTAGGATAATAATTTCTATGTCTAATTTTAAACAATGTACTGCAACAGCAGGAAAATGGAACCCGCAATTATCCCTTTACTTTAAACCATGTAATATAACATTTTCCCGAAACTGCAGGAACAAATAGGCAAGTGCAAATGGAACACGTAATTCTCCCTTTACTTTAAATCATGTAATAAAACATTTTCTCGCAAACTACACAAACAAAAAGGCACAAGTAACACATGAATCACCCCAACAAGCCAGCGAACCATGGATGCATATTTGTGAATGTTTCCACATTCAAGTGTGCATATATGCTTAAACCCCATAAGAAAAACACCCAAAACCTCATCACTTCATAGCAGACACTACGCCCTAAGGTAACTAAAAATCCAGTCTTTAATACGTAAACCAACCATTTGGATCATATTTAAATGCCAAAACCCATCGGTACCCAAAAGCACCAAATCCCAAATCTCAAACACGCAGAAAAAGAACATAATAATAGTAATAATATGCATACTCTGCCTGGACAGAAGTACAGAAAACCTTCAAACACTATTAAAAATATACAAACCCTTTCAGGAAGAGGAGCAGTGCTTCCCTCCTCATCAGCTCCTAAACCCTTATCGCTACCACGCCCACCACTATCACATTCATCCATCTTCTTCTCAGCTGCTTGCACGCTCACCTTCTCCGCCCTGCTAACTTCGTCCCCAACCTAGAAACGACGACGTTTCCCTCAAAGCAGCGGTATCATCGCTCTCTCTACCATGCCCAGCACCACAATCGAACACCACGACCCTTTATCCTTATCGCCACTGCCGATATTACAAACCCTCCTCCATGCGGTTCTTTCCCAGCGGTTCGTCCAGTTCCAGCTGCAGCGGCGAGGCGGCGGCTTCTGCGCACTGTTCAGTTCGATGCCTTCGTGGAAATCCGATGAGTTTCCTTAATTAAACTCCGAGATCTAGATGCTAAGGCAGAAGCTCGTAAAGTGATCGACGATCCGACTGTGAGAGCAGTTTATGGGGAGTGGATAAATGGATAACTCATGGAATTAGGGTTGATAGTTGAGAAATTGGGGGGAAATGAAAAGAAGGTGGCTCCACAAAAAATAACTGTTCGTGGAAACTGATGAGAGATAGAAAAGGAGAGACAAAATTATGAAAAGCAACACTGTTATCTGGGTTAATGTTATCATTTTTTCGAAAATCAAAGTGCCAATTTTATTATTATTACAAATATATACATTTTGGTTAAAAATGCTGTAACAATTGAATTAATGATCAAATATTTTTTTTAATAAATTATTTTATAAGACGGTCAGTCATTGGGGGAGTAGGCCCTTATAATTTTTTTTTTTAAATAAGAATGTATACTTATATAGTGAATTATTATATTTTTGTTTATATTAATTTTTAAAGTATGTCAGTTTGAATTTAAACTTATGAATATTATTGAAAATATATTTGTTATGTATCACTAACAATAGTTGTGCCATTGTGTCGAGCTCTAACTCTGGCAAAGCTTGGCTTGAGACTTAAATGAGCTAATAACCGAGTAAGAACATATCTTATATATTAATATTAACAAGTCAAAATAGAAAAAAATGCATAAATTTATATTTCGATCCTTAGCTAGATAAACACCGCCGCGTATTTTTCACTTGAATTTGTTTAAAAACACTTCTTAAATTGGATGTAAAAGTTCATTTTAATAATATCTTTAATTGGTGCTAAATTAAAAATTAACTTATCAATAAGTTGCTTTTAAAAAAAAAAAATCATTTTATAAAAATAAATGATTGAGACTTTTAGAGAAGTCCGCAAATCCATTTAAGAAATAAACTTTTTCGAAAGTGCTCCTAAGCACATTATTCTCAAAATTGCTTCTGATAAGATATTTGAAATTACAACGTTACAAATGAAAATTTTGGAAATAGTTTATTATTTCATTTCATGAGGAAGCAATATAGCCCTACCTGATGTACAAAATTATTATTTCATTTCATGAGGAAAATAGTTTATTAATGATAATACCTCACGACTGTAATAAGTCAAAGTATCAAGTCAAAAGTACGCCCAGTTTACTTGGCTGACTTGGTAATTTATACAAAAAAGGAAAAAAAATCATAATAATAATAAAAAAAAAAGAATACCCTGAGATTAACTCAATCACAGAAAACTAAAATTTATTCTCAAGAGAAGTGCAGTTCTATGTAAATTTGCCAAACCTTACACCTAATTCGGGTAAATTAAACCCCAAAATGAACAGCAACAGACAACAGTATTAACACTATTCTGTAGGCAACAAATTTTACATGAAAATGCATAGATTTAATGTTTAAGAGAAAACCCAAACCACAATATTTTCCAGTTCCTTGAAGATCAGTCCTCAAAACATTCAAGCCGAAGGCATAAGGTGACCTTTTTTTTCTGTGTCTTTCACAAGCTATAACTTACCAACCGACACCTAAGTACTTTCCAAACGGGCAAGCAAGTTTGGCCGGCAATATAATCTCGTCAAGGGCACTCTTTCCTAGAAAGACCGAAGCAGATAATAATGGGTTTAAGACAAAGAATTAAAGATCATTAAAGTTGCAATAATTTGAGAGAAAAGAAGAAAAAAAGAAGTAATCACCTCTGATTTATCATGGTCATATCGAATCAAGAAAAGACATCTGCAACCTCGTATATCGTGCAATCTCCTTTGGATCGATATAACGTGTGCATCATAGTATCTCGCATGATCGTGTCTCTCCTAATAAAAAAGATAAATTTTGATATTAATCTAAAGAATAAATATTGTAATGGTTCGAGATTTAGACACGCTGCTAACTCAAATTAAGTTTAAGCTAAATTACCGAAAACTCTAGTTCATATACAAATAAATCAGTTTTTTACTGGTTTTTTTGGTTAACTGCGGTTAATTTTGAAAAAGTTGGATTGGTTAGTTTTTAGTGGGATATTAAAATAATATTTCAAATAAATATTAAAGTTGATTTGATGCAAAAGTACGAGAGAGATTATGAGATGTGATAAGTAGTTACAATTATGTGGGTGAATGAATAGTGAATTAAAGTTGATAGGGTTTATAAGAATGATTTATTGATATTATTTAATTATATTAATAATATTGAGGATAATGGAGTTGAGTTAATATTGAATTTTAAATTTCGAGTTGAGATTGAATTTTTTGTTGGTAGATTAATAAACAAACAAGCCCATAATAGTTATCTTTAAAATGTTATAACGAAACTGTTGAGGTCAGTTTGTATTTTATCTGCTTCTTATCTCTTTCTGTCTCTCTTTTAAGTTTGTACACTTCATAAAGTGATTATAATAAAGTATTGAAGGCTATATATATAGACACACAAAAATAATACCTGAAAGCACACGATTATATCCCCAACATTCACTTTGTTGCATTCTGAATGCTCCAAAGCAATAGAACGTTCTCTCACGTCATGTTTAGCATTGACCCATTCATCTTCATCAGTCCCAAACCCAGTGTATCGTACGTAGACTTCCTGCAACAAGCAGGAATTTATTTTTATCACAATTTTAATGGGCTTTTTCTACAAGAGCTGCTAAGATTTAACGTTTTCTTGATCACAGAAGAATACAAAACATAACCAAAAACATATTCTTTCTAAAAAAATTTAAGTAAAAGAGATTTGAAGGGAAATGAAAAGAAAAGATAAGGAGAGACTCGATAACTTAAATTAGTTAAATCAGAATACCAGCTATGAAAGATAGCTATTTTCACGCGACAATCAAATGCAAGACCTAATAAAGGCGTGTTTTTTATTATTTTTTTTCTTTTTGGGAAATAGTTTCTGGTTTTTACTTCATTCAGAATTTAACTACTCACAACTTCACCGGGGCCGACAAATCTGTGGGAGAGAAATGTATCGACATCATACCTGTTCAATGCAAGAAAGGCAAAAGAGTATATGAATATGTTCCTTGCATCAGAAAGGAAAGGAGAAAAAAAAAAGAAAGGTAAAAAAAAAGCAACAAACAAAGAAATAAACAAAAGAAAATAACAGGTGTGGCAAACTGTATCCCACGTCATTGCATCTATATACTTTTAATCTGTATACTTCCATACCTCAAAGATAAATATTTTATTTCCATTTTATCATACATACAAATTGACAAAGATAGATAGCAATATTAAGTTTTCGGTTTGCATAATGAAATTCCTTTTTTAGATTCATCTGTAACTCTTCGATTGCTCGTGGTTTATCTTCGAATAATAACTCTGGGAATCTTATAACAATTATGATTGTCGCTAAATCGATTCCTTTTTCAATAGCAATATAGATAATTAGCAAAGTTGCCAACGTCGGATAATGCTGAAAGATCTCGATCAGCAGCTAAAAATCGGCTTACCATGCTCCATCTTTCGATGATTTTGCCTCAAACTCCAACTTGGATATGTCTCGACCCTTTTCCCCTGTCATGACACTAATGCCAGTCACTATCATAACTTTCTAAGGTCACCAAAAATCATAGAAACTTTCAAACCAAAAGGGTAGAGATATTATTGCCCGGAAAAAGTGATATTATCGGTCAGAAGAAGATCAAATGCACTATTGCCCATCAATAACATTAGATATTGAAACATAAACTAGCATTACAGGCAACACGAAGAAAAAAACAGCAAATTCACAGAAACTGTGCGCAAGGTAAAACGCAAAAAAACGAAAATAATTTCAGAAAAAACAAATATATCCATAACTCCTCATGCGATTTAAGGAGGAATTTACAAGCTCACTCAAAATGTACGAAAAATACATGAAATATGAACCATGGGGCAAAATGAAACAAGCCACCTTTTGGAAATTCAGGATTTTCAATTGCTTTATCTTGCGTAAGATCGTCCGGAAAAATAGGGGATTCCTTTGAATCAAATGGACACTCGTTCAATAGGCTGTTTTTACGCTTCTTCTGAAACCAACTTTGTACCTGTGAACAAAGAGAGCAACACATAAACTTAATAATTAACTTAAGACAACATCTGTGGAAGATATAAAAGCAGAATATAAAAAGAAAAACCTCTGTCCACTTCAAAATAGGCTTTCCAGCTCGATTATTAGAATAGCTGCATCCAAGATTTATACATATATATATACAGTTAACCACTAATAAAGAAGCCAAGCAAACACTTGATAGTCACCACATGCAGAAATAACTCACTTGAAACTTCTTGCCAGTTTCTTATAGAAGTTCTCATCCAGAGACTGTTCGTTAGACTCGTCAAACAATTGCTCCATTTTCTCAACCTGATTCAGTGATGTCATAAGATAAGCGTCTCATATTACTGACCAAGTTTGTACGCAGTACAAAATTTGACAAAAGAAAAACGAATCTCCAAGGAAGTCAACAAGATCAAAAGATAGCGTCTAAAGCAATTACAACAACAACAACAACATCATACCCAGTATATTCCCAACAGGTTGGGGTCTGGGGGGTCAGTTGTACGCAGACCTTACCCTTGTAATTATACAAGGAGGCTGTTTCCGTAGCGACCCAAGGTGCATTGCGCCGTTTGATATATTTTTTTTCTAAAAACTTCACTAATAGAAGAAGCACTAGAATTTAATTGAGCCATTTTGATTTAGTCCATTATTAGCACTATGCCAGGAGAATTGTCAACAATGACTCTTCCAGCTCCATTTGCAATGGACAAATAGCGTCTAAAGCAATTAAAGGATTAAATTTCTTAATAAACAAATTGGCAACATTTTTTTTTTTCTATTACCATAAAAACAATTGATTATTTATGATCATAAGAACATGCTGTTTAAGGCTTTATGCACACAACATCACATTAGATACTCAATACACAATAGATTGCAGAACAACTCAAAGTCAAGTTTAATCCAGTGTATCGTGTTATCACCCTCATAATCAAGGCACATATTCACCGATGATACGGCACAATAACTCAGGAGAAAATTGCAAAAATCCACCTTGTCACTCTCTTTGAAAAGAAGTTCCTCTTTGGTAGAGATATCAATCACCATCACTCTCTATTTTGGTAGTAAAAGCCAAAGATGGCATTTTTGCCAATTCCATCATTATTCAATCACAGTAACACCTATTTTTTTAACAGTCCCACAAATGCAAGAGCAAAATATAAAATGTTTTTATCTCGCAACAGAAACAAATATGTATCCTTTTTTTTTTTCATAAATTCTTTTATGCCCCTATAAACATCACCTGAACACTAGATAGTTCAACCAATCGAAAAGCTTTCAGACTGCTTCCAAATAAAAACGGATGCCCCTGTTAACAACTAATCGAAACGACTACTCTCTTCACCTAGACAAACCAATATGTTATGTACCACGAAGCCCATTTGCCACAAACATGTACCCATGCATTTCACTAAAACCCCACAAAGAAAACAAACGGCAAAAAACCTAATAGCCCATTAAAACAGAGAAATCAAAGGTCATAACTCAGGTGATAACCAACAGAGGTGTTGAAAAGACAAAAAGGAAAAAAAGGGAATGGAAGAAAAAAAAAACAAAAAGACCTCGGCTTTGGTGAACCCAATGAAGGGTTGTTTTTGTCTCGGCCGAAGGTTCATCGGAAACCGGCTTTCTGCTGCTCAAAACCTTAATTTTGTGAAAAGGTTTCGGGCAAAGGACGATGAGGTGAGTGTTGAAGATACCGAGAGTGATCAGAGGGTAGCCATTTGAGCGCCTACTGGAGCTCTTTTAGGATGTTTGCGGCTTTGTATTTTGTTTATAGGCATTGGAAAAGGCCACCAGCTTCTTGGGGGATTTTTTTATGTTACAAAACTGGAATAAAAAGTGGAAAAGTTACTAAAAACAATAAAATAAATTTAAATTATGATTCGTGTATGTACATTAGATTAGATGAAAAGTTAAAAATAATACAGAGTAAAAACAAATAAAAACAATAATTTATATTGATTAATAATTAAAATATGTGAGAAAATGAATGACGTTTTTCATTAAAAATGTATAATAGTGTATATATATATATTTTTAAAAAAGAACAATAAATAATTATGTAGAGACAAAAAGGGAGATAATAATAGTAATTCTTTTATTAAAAATCCATATTTTATTTACGTTTTAATTAGATAAATATTAACTGACCAGATAAAAAATAAAAACAACAAAATTGAGGCCACCAGCTGGCAAGGTACACTAACCATAACTTGTTATTTAAGCATTTATTTATATTGTGTTGTGTAATTATGTGAGCTATATTACAAGAAGAATATTTTTTGACAAATTCGCCAATGATAGATTATACTATTAAAAATAATATGATAATTATTAAATCACCTTTTGAAAGTATGATCCGTCATTATAGATATCTGTATGAGAACATCCAATTCCAATCTATAGTGTGAAATTCGAGCTTGTATTTTGTAAGGTAAATAACTTTAAAAAAAAAAAACAAAACAAACAAACTAAACAAAAAACAAACTCATATTGGAATTTTTTTCGGTCANATATATATAACAAGTCAGCCTCATCTATATATCCATATCCCCAATCGCGCATTAGTATTTATGAAACATATTTACTATGTTTATATATCCCAAAATCGTGTCATTTCTTCAAAATGGTTCAAATAATTCAGCAACTAGAAGGGAAAATGAAAAACCAAAACAAAAAAAGTGTCACATTCCAAGATGCAACTCATTCTCTCACACGCATATAATATATCTCTTTTGCTTAATCTATTACAGATTTCTTGAATACATATCATACTAGCACAAGAAAGCATAGACTATATTTTGACCAACATTCCCTCATTCGATTTACATTCGTTCAGTAAAAAAACAGATTTCTAGTAAAAAAACAGATTCAACATATTATAATTTTAGTGAATATCAGATAAAAACACCTCTGCTCTTCGACTCTGTTCTTCACATTCATCCGAATCGAATTTCACTCAGAATTCGAATCCAGCTGGATTTTTTCCGAGCATCATCTTCGGGCAACACTTGAACTGATGAAATCTTCGGTCCCTGAAAAGCTAGCACATCAACATATGCTGACAAGTACTCATCTCATATTATTTTACAGTGAAAGAGCCCTCAAATTATGTCATATCTATATTATTGATTGGTTGATTGATTTCTATTTTTATCTTTTATATAAAGAAGCTATGTATGTGCAATCAGAAGTCAAGAATTGTGCGCAATAAAATTATTCAATTGTTGTTATATTCTATCCTTTGCATATAACCTATTATCTACATGTGTGCACATAAGCAGAACAAGATAGATTTCTTAAAGTGCATACAGGAAAAATACCTAAGCTGTATTATAGAACCATTTCTAGATTGTTCCATCCATAACTTGCGAGCTTCGTATGCCCCAAAAGGCCTGGGGCCTCAATTTCTTACTTGTGGCAGAAAAGTACCAACCCAGTTGTGTCCCGCATGTGATGCATTCAGCAATCGACCATGCATAACTGCAGCCATAAGGAGGCATAAAAATCTCAAAATGGAGGCGAAAATTGTTCATCTAATATTATAGCACAACTCAAATAGCTTGTAAGTTGTAACCATAAACATGGAAGGATAAAGATGACAACCAAGAAACCTCCTCCTAAGAAAATATGTTTTTTTGTATCTAATAACCACCAGAACCAATTTACTCAGAATATGTAGCTCTTTGCACCAAAATTATCACCTAAGAAAATATTGGATAATAGGTATATAGGATTGTGCAAGTCAGGCCCTTCGGAGTTCATAACCCGAGAAACTATGAAAATCCATATCAACTCCTTGTGCAAAATTATGTAACCATTTTATCACCAATATAGAAACAGGTGGAAGTGGGGATCGATAATATTAGATAAAAAGGGAAAAAATGCAATTCACCTCAGGAGAAAAGATTGAATCACAAAAGCATTCTTTTGTGTCGATAGTGATCAAGTCGCCTAACGCTAATGGAGAAGTTTATAATGCAAGAATATATTAGCATCAAATTGAGAGGAACCTTACCGAGGAAACCAGCTGAATTCTTTCACCGGAGGCCCTGAAACTGCTATTCCATCCGTTCTGGTGAGAGTCATAACCTCATGCACAAATCCATGTGGGTTAGCATAAGCACCGAGTGGACCTTCACTAGACATTACTAACATGTCACTTCTCTTTGCAATGAGAGTCTGAAAGA